ATTTGAAGTGTAATTCCTCTACGTGTAGACATTTAATTTTAACAAAAAATATATTATATGATAGCCCTGCTTTAGGGGAATCTAATAAAAAAAAGTTTGTGCAATTTAGATCACTCGTTATGGCACAATTAGCATTTTAAATTTAGTAATTTTTTTAAAAATGTTCAACTGTCCGGTGACTTTTGACCACCCACTGTACATAGGCTAGTTCATGAATTTATCCAGCATTAATCAGGATTTATAAATTACAAAACGGAAATAATTCATCATCGTTACAATGTAATAACTTTTTTATTTTAATAAGTAAATGTCAAACACTGCAATAAGTGAGTTGAAAGATAAGAATAATGTGCATCTTCCATAAAAATTTCAGATCTATATTATCAAAACTGAGCAAATTATGAGCGGTTAATTTCGAACACGATAAATTATTTCCGTTTGAAATTTAATCGTTCATAATTTGCTCAATTTTGATGATATAGGTCTGAAATTTTTATGGACGATGCACATCATTCTTATCTTTCAAATCACTTATTGCAGTATTCGGCATTTACTTATTAAAATAAAAAGTTATTACGTTGTAACGATGATATCCGCATATTATAAATTTATCTGCCTTATATCCGGATATATTCGCCCTCAAAAATTTCCTGATGAACTACTACCTGGACATGAATTGTCAGAATATGCCTTGATTACTTCCCTTCCTCGAGTGGAACTCTAGAATCTTGAATTATCACAAACAATATGATATTCTTTACTGCCTCGCTATCGATCCTTATTTAAATATTTCAAATATTTTTAAGTTTCATTTTTAGAAATAGGTTTTTTTTTAATTATAATAAAGTATTGAATTAACAATATTATAACTGAATTAATTCCGATTTGCAAATTTGGATTAAAAAAAATATCATGTGATATTTTATCTTAGTTAATTATTATCATGTTGTGCTCGATGATTATTTTGAATATGTAACATTTCGATAATACTTTTCTTTTCGTAAAACTTTTTTAAAACTTCGAGATTAGATAAATAGGTTAAAGATATTAGATTTATATTATTTATATTATTAATCGAAAAGATTCAATACATGTCTTTCTTTAAACAATCCTCATTAATACTTCCTTTATTCAATGAAAAATCATCCAAATCGATTATACAAATAATAGTTAATAAATTTACTATATTTAATATAAAACGAATTTTATTTATAATTATTTTATCTACTTCACTGATAATAAATTTATTTTATTTTTTTTCCAATAATAATTATTTCGATTCTTCTACAATTTTTCTCTATAGTGACAACAACAACAATAATAATGGTAATATAATTCCTCAACCACCTCATCCTGAACTTTTAGATTTAATTATTGTTGCAGGACATGCAATATTTGTAGGAAATGATATTAATAAAGCGGATAAAGATGAAGGATGGATTTTAGAGGATTTTCAAAAGGGCGGAGAACAAGTGAAAACATTTTTAAATCATATAAGAAAAGGTTTAGAATTAGTTGAAAATAATAAAAATGCTTTATTGATATTTAGTGGGTAAGAAATTTTTTATAAAAAATATATATACACTTAATAGTTAAAAAAAAAAATTAAAAATATAATCTACAAATCTTATAAACATTTAGAGGACAAACGAGGTCTTTAGCCGGTCCGAAAAGTGAAGCACAAAGTTACTGGGTAAATATCATTATCTCTATTATCGGTTGTCTCTTATTACATAATAATAAACAAATTATATTTATTTATTTATAGGAAATTGTTTATGCCACCCAATCACTAGAAACGTCACAATTACTAACATCACGTATGACAACTGAAGAATTTGCTAGAGATTCATATGAGAATCTTTTGTTTTCAATTTGCCGTTTTCATGAATTTACTGGGAATTATCCTAGAAATATAACTATTGTGGGCTTTAATTTCAAAAGAAAAAGATTTATTGAATTACATAGAACTGCTTTAAAATTTCCATTAGAAAGGTAAGATAAATTGTTATTTATTAATAAAATATAATCTTACATATAATCATTATTGATTTTATATATAATCCTGGGAAAAGACAAAATATATGTAGCTAAAATATTACATGTATTTCTTATTTTCCAAATATTAGATTTGAATATGTAGGAATTGATCCTGAAACTAGTTCTTTAAGTAGATTTGATGGTGAGGTAATTTTGTATAGATTTTATTTTTTATTTTTTTTGTTTTATTTATTTTTTATTTTTTATCTATTTTTTATTTAATTTTTTTATAAATTAATTAATTAAAAGAATTTAAATTCATTTGGACCATTCCAAGGAGATATTTATGGTTGTCATGGAACACTTCGAAACAAAAAACTTTTAAGAAACCCATTTAGAAGAATGTAATTATATCAATATTCATTTGTTTAGGTTTTTTTATTTGATAAACTTTACATACATTAATTATAACATTATTTTCTTTTTTACAGTCACCCATATCTTCGAAGTTGTCCAGAAATTTCTTCATTAATAAATTATTGTCCTAAAAACAAAATTTCAATTTATCCTGGTAAATTACCTTGGGAATAACTGATTAAATCAATTAGTGAGCAATTTTCTTTACATTTATTTTCATTAATATTTTATCTTCTTGATTTTTATTATTTATACATTTTAAAAAAGTTATTAATTCATAATTAAATTAATTATCAATTTACAATATTAGTATCAATATTTAAATAAAAAGTTAAATATACATTGATAATGACAACAAATGTTTGGTTTATCTAATAAAATAAATATTTTTTTAAGTTTCAGCAAAGCCTTGCCTTGCCTTGAGACTTTATTAATAAGAAATCAAATATGTATGTATAATGTATGTATCATAAATTGTCCTTGCCTATTTGTGAATATTCCTTGCCATGCTCACCAAAAAATTGTTCATTCAACCTGCGACCATACCTATAATTATATCTATTTTCTAAGGTATAACTGGAGTAGTTGGAAATGAAGACCTCCTGTCAATGATAAAAAACCATCCTTATATATATATTTTTACTTTAGATCTCTGGCTTAGGTCTTTGCTTAGGTCCTTTGGATCCTTCCTTGAATCTTTACATGTATCAAATGATCAAGAATCAGCCAATTTAAAATATGTATTACAAAAATCAGATTTGCTTTTATCATATTTTCTTATTTACTAATCATAGAGAGAAATCAAAAATGCACAAATTAATTAAAATCCTCAATGACATCCAAAATTACAAACAAACATATACCACCACAGCACAGATAAAGTTACACATGAGCCTATAAGTTAAAGAGTTGAGTTGAGCCGAGCCCATTTCAAGTCAGCTCTCCTCAATGGTAAGTGAATTATCTTTCTAGCACTGAACTGATATTTGTCAAGTTATTATTATCCAATGACAATGCATTCAACAGTAAATTTTTTTAGGTGTAATATTACGTAATATTATACCGTTTACAAAAATCCATTTTTTGATTTAGCTTGCAATTTACGTAACAGGGTACAATTTTCTACTAATGTATTTCTAAGATGTATCGAAAGTTCTGGTTCCTGGCTACATTTGAATATATGTTTCATTCCTGTAGCTTTGACACTCATCGAGATATTCTTGTTTAAAGCCGGACATCTGTGAAAAATTTCGCAAATAATTTTTACGTAATATTACGACACGAAAATTTATGTAAAATTTTTTGGTGAAATTTTTCACGGACGTCTGACTTTAAACGTGAATATCGACGAATATTTATGTTATAGGAATGAAACACATATTAACATGTAGCCAGGAACCAGGAATTTTGATCTATTTTAGAAACACCTTAGTAAAAAAATGCTCCTGTCACGTAAATCGCGAGCGAATTCAAAAAACAGATTTTTTAGATATAAATTTCCAAAATATTTACGTAATATTTCAAAAATTTACACTTAAAAAAAATTTCATGATGCACTAATAACAAGATATGTAAAGTGCTATCTTGATAAATAATTAAACACATACAAAGATATCCAGTATTATAACATAAGTAATATAGTCATAGTCAGTGTTGTATATTTTATATGTTTTCACGCTTTTTGCACTGTCTGTACTCTTAAGTAATTTATAAATATATATTGAACTTCACAAATATATGCAAAGTAATTTTGAGCAATTTAATTAATCTAAAAGGGTTTCATAATAAAACTTTATATTATTAACATTTTAAAATAAGCAATTTTGTCTAAGCATTGTTTAATGGTGTCCCTTGATAACACTAGTTACAGTTATCTGAAGAGGTGTAAAAGTATAAGAGAGTATTAAATGAATTAGTGAAAATATAAAAGAGATATTAATGATACTAAAAGTATTTAAGTAAATAACACATATATTAAAATATTTGTTAGTTAATCTATAAAACATATATTAAACCATTTATTAGTTAATCTATAAAACTAACTGATGCCTTTTAAACTTGAGTATTAATATTATCATATCTTTTAAGTTATCATATAAACTTCTAAAAGAACTGTAAAGTTTACTAAATAAGATATAACAAGAGAATATGTTAATAATAGTATCTGGGAACATGTTAAGTTATCAATTGTTATTATAGTCATTAATTACATGGTAAATAATTATAGAATATGTTTTATATGACATACAAGAGGATATAATCTGTTGTATTTACAACTAATTTTTTCATTATACTGTACATGGAATTACATGTTTATAATTAAATCATAATTGAAATATTGTAGTTGAAATAAACACCTTTTCCCCTTTTATTTATTGGAATAATTGAGTTCTGATCTGCAAATTGGGTTTTAATTATAGTAATTCAAACTTTATTCAAGTTAACATAATATTCAACAGTGACATTATGATGGCTCTGCTATATTTCTCTAAAAGGAATTATATTTTATTCTCAATTGGAAGAAGCAAACTTCCATCTTCTTATTTGTCTAGAAAATGATTCAATGCAAAAGTAATTTTTTTCAAATGTTGAACAACACTTTTCAAGACAACTGTTTTATTGAAATAATTATTTATTTAATAAAAATAAGATTGAACTGATCTGAATTGACAAGATCAATTCTTGTGTCTTTATAAACATTTCTATTTTGGGTTCAAGACCATAACTGAGGTCTACAGCTATACTTGAGATCTAATGATAGCTGACCTTCTATTGGGATTCTGTTCTAGGATATCTCTTAACATGGTTCCAAAGGTGATCAAGATTCTAATTGAGGCACTTAGTGTTCTCTTAGATAATCAATTAATCAATCCTTTCTAATTAAACTACTCTAAAATCAATATATATTATTAAATATACAGTTAATTGTATACAAAAACTTTAAATTACACCTATGGTGTTAAACGCCACAATAAAATTTGTTAGTTGATATTAAGTTAGGGCTAAGGTTAAAATATGATATTCAGATGTAAAAAATCATGGAGAGAACTTTTTCTTATAATTTGAAAGGTGATTTCATAATCAAAATTGGATTTTTTTTAAAAAAAATGGACTCTTTTGAATTTTTGATCTTTTAACCAATTAAATCGCAAGATCACAAAATCCAGCTGTCTTATTTGTCTTATTTGTTAATTTGCATTATAATACACCAGTGGCGTGATTTAACAATGCAATGTCGAATATATAAAATAAGACATAAATAATAATAAAAAAATAAAACAAAGGCATAAAATATTTTGGGTCCCGAGCAATTTAATTGAATCCAGTCATTCACTTGGATTATGATTATCGCACGAATAATATTATCTATTATTGTGTAATTACACAGTTTTAAAAAATATTAATTATAGATATTCCAAAAATAACAAGTGAGAATTTGAATTTTATAAAAGATTACTAATTTGGTTAATTTCACTATTCGTATAACGAGGGGTGGGAAATAATGTAACTAAAGATGTTTTAACTTTAATTAGTCTCTTTAATTTTCCATAAAATTTTTTTTTTTCAACCGTAATAATAAATTTAGGGGGGTTAGATGAAAATAATCTTCGAATTAAGGTGAAAATCGTCTAATTATATGAAAAAAATAATTTTAAAATTGGATTCATTTCAAAGTATATAAAAGTTTAGATTCAAAGATAACATTTTTAATTAATTAAATGTAAACACATATATATATTATAAACGATAAATTAAATGTAATGTAATAATAATAAATATTAAGTCTATTCTATATTTTTCTGTACAAAATATTTAAACATTTTAATATTAGTTTGATTAATTTCACATTCTTGATGAATGATATTAAAATATTCTTCACACTCAATATCGGAAAATCGTTCTAGAAAAGGAATTTTCATTGCGAAATGCATTTCTTTGAACGATTTGAATGCCTGAATTCAAATTGTGTTTTGAGAAGATAAAGAGATTAACAATTAATATTGTCGTATTATTATCGTTATCGTTATTATTAATGTAGTTAATCGACAAAAAAAAAAATAGTAACCAATTCTCCTAATGTATTTCCTCCTAAATCCATATTAGTTACTCCCGAACATATATTTTTTGATAATTTATCATGTGATTCAAGAAATTTGTAAATTTCTGGTGCCATTGCGAAATTTAAACCCTTGGATCGCGAAAATTCTAAAGTTTCTGTTTGCAATTCTAAGGTAGTTGGACCACAACTTTCAAAATCATAATATCTTTCTTCTAACTATAATTAAATCACATATTAATCTTTAATACACGCGTATAATTTGTTAAAAGTAACAAATTTTATAATTTATTTTTTAAAAAATTTACCTCAATCCATCCTCCAGGCTTGGTAACTCGTACAATCTCATCTATTATTAATGGCCATTGTCTCTCAGTGAATGCTGCGATCATATTAGATTGAAAAACAAAATCAAATGTATTGTCTGGAAAAGGAAGTCCTTCAAGGACATTGCATTGAATAAATCCGACATTTGATGGTCGTTTTTCTTTCAATATCATATCAGCAATATCAACACCTATAAATGTTGCTTCTTTATATTCTTGAGCGAGGTCTAACAAAAAGGAACCACAACCACATCTATGATATGATAATAATAATAATAATAATTACAATTCAGAATTAATTTTTTGAAGAATGCAAGCATTGAAGTGTTTCCTGGGTGAATTGAAAAAAAAAAGGAACTCAAAAAACTTACCCTACATCTAATACTCGAAATCCACCATTGACTAATTCATTTTCTAATGGGGAATAAAAAATATTTTCTTGCCATGCATATTTTGATATATAATGTTCCAATTTTAATCTATTTATTTCAATTGTATCGTCAGGAAAAGGATAATTACTTCCTTCAATGTTATGAAATCTTCTTCCTTTTCTAAATATATGATTTTCTAATATTGGTTGTTCTTTTTGGTGAGAAATCAAAGATTCATTACTAGAACTCTTATTTAAATATTTCATTTTGAATAATTTAAAATTTTCTTGATTTTTATAAATATATAACTGAATATATAAATCAAATTTATAATTTTTTTTAATTCGTTAAAGCAAATCGATAGTTTTTATTATTTTTTTTATACTAAAGATAAACATTTAGTATTACGACCGATCAAACTCGAGATGGGGGTATATATTAATGTATATTAATGTGCATTAAACATCGGGGGTTTTCTGTTTATATATTACAAAGTATTTTAACACTGATTCGCTGCTATAACACATAAATGTATTAACGCACGAACGCCGCCCCCTTCTTTGAATGGGAATTTTGATTGTCGAAAAGGTAAAATTTAAGATTAACAAAAAAAAATTGGTGAAACTAAACAGGAAATTGCAAATTAAAATAGAAATTTATTAAAAGCAAGCTTATTAATCTTATTAAGCCTTTACTAATAAATTATGTAATACAAAAAAAAATATAATATTGTCAATCCAGATTCAACATTTTATTTTTTTTTTTTTTTAAAAAAAAAAAATAACTTCTTTTCTATATTATAATGAATTTATTTTTATATAATTTCAATATCATTGTAAAAACCTTAAATCTTCGTCTTCATTATTGAACTTAAAAAAATTGAAATGTCGATCATCTTATTTCCGTAAAGAATTGGAAAATATTCAGTTGCCAAAGTTGCCCAATGAATTTGAACTTGAAGAATAGAATTAATAAACTCTAAAGAACATGCAGCTGAAATATTTTTACATGGATTGAACATTAAAATAATCATACCATATCCTCAAGCTAATGTTACGTGGAATCAGAGATGGGTTTGTTAGTTTGTTGGGATATGTGCCATGGTCATGCTGATACAGTGTTTATTGTGAAAGTTAAAGGAACAGATGAAATACTTGGTGGATATAATCCTTTAATACATTCTAATTAAATGTTTCATTTTAAAGAATGGTAATATTCAAAATTAAATTCTTAGCAGAGTAAAAGATTCAAAACTTACGTTTCATATGTATAAATTTAATTTTACTTAAGATAATTTTAGTCTTGTTATAAATTTAATTTTACTTTAGATAATTTTAGTCTTGTTATAAATTTAATTTTACTTTAGATAATTTTAATCATGTTTATTAGCTTTTTCAATTGGAGTATTTTATTATATATTAAACAATTTAATAAACAAGATTTTTATAAATTTTAGCCAGAATTCATTTTTTTTCATTTCATTCTATTTCGGTACCAAAAAGATACTTGAGGGATATAAAAACGTATCCAATATGCCTTTAAAATAGTAAATATAAATTTCTGAAAATTGGACAATGGTTGAACCCATAAAATTTTCAGGATGAATACTTTGACGGTCTTCTGGTTTTGATACATAATCTCTTCGTTGTCAATAAAGCTGAATAAAGCTGGCGAAATTGAGAAAAGATAAGATTTTTTATTTTTTTTAAAAAATTTATTTATTATCTATGTAAAATATAAAGTTTGACTCACTATTTAATCAAGGTCAGCCAAAAAAAAAACATCGAATTTCACAACTTTCTGGTTTATCTAATCACGTATGTATGGCAACTCTATTTTGAAATTCATTTAAGCAAGTTATAATTGTAAAACCAATAAATTCCGCTTGTTATTATTATTATAATGGTGAACTAGAATGCATTAATTTTAATCATTATTTAATTTAAATGAACATGAATAATAAAACTTATTTTAATTCATTGCTAATTTTTGAGATATTATTTAATATATTTAATATGAATTCTTTGATAGAGAGAAATTATTTGGCAAGCAAGTAAATATATTATATGTATTATATGTATGGTGTATGACTAATTACCCCTCGTTACTGACAATGATCTATCAATAAATTTTGTTACATAAACCTTCGTGTATTTGTCATCAATTTAATTACTTGACCATGTTCCAACAATGTAAATGAAAGAGAGAGATCTTTTTTTCTAGGCGTAAATCAGTGACTAAGGGCAACCAACATGATTTCATAAATAAAGTATTTTTTATTATTTTTAATTGATTCCGTCTTTTGTAACTGATGAATATATCTAACAGAAAAATAAAATAATTGGATATTTTTAAATATGTTTAAAATAAAATCTTTATATTCTTGTTAATAAGTTTCATAAACAAAAATTCATATTTTGAGGGAAAAGGAATCTTCTCGGGAAAATGAAGTTTAATTTTATATATTACAATCAAAAAGTCAATAGTTTTTTTTTTGTTTTTCGGGTGGGATTTTACTCGCTTATTTTGGCAATGATCTTTCTTTTCTTCTGAAAGAAATCGAATATAATATTGATCTCATCAGAAATTTGTTTGTTACTATTATTATTATTATTTCATCTAATTTACCACACCATCTATATGAGAAAGGCTGTGACCACCACATTTCGTGGGTTAGATAAATATTTTTCAAGAAATAAAATAATCGAAGAAAATCACACGCATTTATTTTTTTTTTTTTTTGGATTTTTTGAAATGATTTCATCCACCAAAATAATATTTTACAAGAATTATAATGTTTACATATATTTACGGTATTTACACTCCATTGTAAATTATTTGTAAATTTCTTATTAATGTATTATGGGAACAGTTGTGAAATTTTGAGTAGACCAAAAGGTAAAACAGTCCGAAATAAAATGAAATGCATGATATCGACAAGAATTGATTTAAGACACGTATTGAATCTTTCATATTGTTATTTGTACCTGTCATGTAAATAAAATTTGTAAAATTATGTAAAATTATAAATTAAGTATAGATAAAAATTGATAATTAATACAAACGTACTTATTAAGGATAATAAATCTTTAGTATTTTTATCATCAGACGAATCCATCAGATTTGAATGAGCGGCTATGAATGTGAATGTTGAAAAAAGTAATAATAAGAAGGTGATTGCGGTTTTCATTTTTTCTTTTTTTGATTTTAAGTTGGATTTAAATGGATTTAAATATGTTTTGAAATTCTGAAAACTGATGTATTATGACGTTATGGCTTTTTGTAGATCGATAGATCAGATCGTATCATATATTTTTATTTATTTAATAAGGATTTTTGATAATTATGACGTGATCAAATGAATGAATGAAAAAAGCAATTTTCCCATTCAATCTAGTTTGGATTGTTTCCTTTATTTATGTTAAATAAAAAAAAATGATATTTGTTTATTTTGTACATATCAGATGTGGGCTGATTGTCCACTTTCCGTTGTGTAACATTGCGGAGAAAAAATTTTTAAGGCGAAGAATATATCGTCAAAAACTTATTTTTATTATTTTTTAATAATTGCTATATAATGTACTATAAGCATTTCCTGGAATAATAATGTATGTAATTTGTTAATTATTCACTGCATTGATATAGTGACATCAAGGACGTTATTTATTACATGTCATTTCATCATTCTCAATCATATTAATGACTTTTGATACTTTTTTTTCTTCGATTTCTTGTTTCTCACTTTTCGTGGTGGTCACCTGGAAGGAAATGAGTGTAAGTAAAATATCAGTAACTAATGCACATATTGCCATAATTTTTTTTTTTTTTTTTGCATACGTACGTTTTTAAATATTTGTTTTAACTCATTTATAATTCCATCATCATTCAGAACCCATATAATAATTTATCTTTTCCATTGTTTAATTGAATGAATCTTCCATTGGTCACACCACTTGAATCATAAATACACGACCATAACAGTCTAAAAAAAATCATTCCATCTCCAATAGTAATAATAATAATAATAATAATAATATAGTTGAAGATCTTTTGGATCACCACTATCACTAGGAAGCTCACAATCAATGAAAGATTCAAGATGATAAACACCTAAGAAATGAATCCATGACCATCAATCGATCTCCTGACTTTCCTGGGTAGGGCAAGAGTGTGCGAATACGGTTTCGTCTGGACTTTCGTTGTCACGTAATGTCTCCCAATGGTACCGATTCTTTTTCATGTTCTGATGAGGAGATAGTACTTGACTATATTATATAATATAATATAATGAGTTTTTTTTTTAGTTTTTTCTTCATTACAAGAAATTAGCGTCCATTGCACCTGAAGAAGAGTGTTAGAATTTTTTTTCATCTTGTATCACATTTCCTCCATATATATATCATATACTCAATATACTCACGTGGTCAATCTCTGAAATTTGATATAGCAATTGATAAATTAAATAAAATAAATGAAAATGAGATTGAAAAATGAAATTGAAAATGAAATTGAAAATGAAATCGAAAATGAAATTGAAAAAGAAATTGAAAACGAAATTGAAAATGAAATTGAAAATGAAATTGAACAATTACCGGTTGAGGAAGAAATTGAGCTAAAAGGATTATTGAGTGGTCAATCAACTGATGAAGCTCTGGTTGAAGTAAGATTTCATTTAAAGATACTGAATATTATTCATATTATTTGAATTAGATTTTACTTTTAGTACTCTTAATTAATTCTTCAAAACTTTATCTAAAGACTCGAAAGTCGATATTCTTTAAGATTCTTAAGATTTTTATGATTCTTATATTGATCGCAATACTTGCTGATTCAATTTTCATATTAGTCACTTTTCCAAAGAATTCAACTACTCGGTTTTATAATAATGGAACCCATGATTTTTACCCAACCGTGATTTTATTATCTATCGATGGATTTAGAGATGATTATTTATACAGAAACATTACTTCTTATATGACAAACTTTTGTTGGTTTGGATGAAATTTTTGAATTTATTATGTTCAGTATATTGAATGTACGTATTGTGACTAATAATATATTTTTGATTTTATAGATCAAGATGGTCTTCAGTCAGAATATTTAATACCATCATTTCCGGTTGGTTATATTTGATTTTTTTTTTTTAAAAAAAAAAAAATTTAAAAAATTAAAAAAATTTACGAAATTCAAAAAATACTTAATTTGTGATTCGCCAGAAACGGAAAGGATTTATATAATGGATTTCGGGGCAACTTTTCCCAATTATATATAAAAATTAATTTTTTAATCGTTAAAAAAAAGGCTTATCTCTTTATTTTATTGATGTCATTTAAAACTAAAAATATATTTTAATGGTGTTAATGAAGAAATGGATTTTCATAAGATAGTTCTTGTGATATCTTATTCCGGAACGAGGTTATGGTTATTATATGTAAATCTCTTTCCGTTTATTGTGAATCACGAATTAAAATGTTTAAAATACTTATAATTCGTATATATATAATTTAAATTCGTATATATATAATTTTTTAATTCGTTTATATAGTCTGTTACTTTTCCTAATCATTACACCATAGTAACTGGACTTTATCCTGAATCACACGGAATTGTTGGAAATACTTTCTATGATCCAGATCTAAAAGATTATTTTTATTATACAAATCTAAGTCATAGCCTCGATACAAAATGGTGGGGTGGCGAACCTGTAAGTATATTAAACCTTGAACAATTTTACTATAATTCAAATTCTTTATACAAATATTTTTTTTTTGAATATATTCTTACTTACTAGATATGGGTCACAGCCGAGAAACAAAATCAAAAAACAGGAGTTTCGCAATGGGTTGGTTCATCAGCAGTTATAAAAGGAATTACTCCAACCTATTATTATCATTATGACTCCAAATTAGATATGAACGAACAGGTATCACGTGTAATGAATTGGTTAGATCTTCCATTGAATGAGAGACCAACATTCATTGCTGCATATGATCCAAAGGTCGATTCCATAGGTCATAAAAAAGGACCTGATTCCAAGGAATTGAATGAAGTTTTGGAAGCAACTGATAACTTGATTCGTGATTTATTGAATGGATTGTCTCAAAGGAATCTTACAGATATCGTTAATTTCATAATTGTTGGTATTATAGATAATTAAATATATATATTTATTGTTTGATCTTCATGTGATCTTTTTTACTGAAATTACAATTTCAATAAACAAAAGGTCAGTGATCATGGGATGGCACCAACAAATTCATCTAGTATTATTTATCTCGATGGAATATTCAACATCTCGAAGGTTTTTCCATTAGAAGGATATCCTATGGCCGGTGTTCGCCCTTATAATGATTCTGAAGTAACTGATATTTATACAAAATTAAAGGACGCGAGTTTGAATCAACCTTGGGAATGTTATCTTCGAGGTAATTCAAATAGAATATATATATATATAGATGTATATTTTAAGCAATTATCTACTATACGTTATTTATATATTCTATTTTTGGGAGCAGATGAAATACCTAAACGATTTCACTTTCGTAATTCAAAAAGAATTGCACCTATATACTGTATTCCGGAAACTGGTCGAATACTTACCTCGCATCGTGATTCTAACGGTACAAAGCCTCCTTTAGGTACCCACGGATATGATAATCTAGAACCGTTGATGAGAGGAATTTTTTTAGCTAATGGACCTGCATTCAAAGAAGTTGAGAGTAGGATAAAAACAAACGTAATTGAAGGTTTCCATAATGTTGAAATATATAACATAATAACAACAATTCTGAGATTAAAACCAGCAGAGAATAATGGTACCAGTGGCGGGATACTTTGGAATTAATGAATTTTTTATATATTATTTAATCAATAATCAGAGAAGACAATGATAGATTAATTAGTACATTATTATACATTTTAGAGAACATTGAAAAACCTCGTGAATAGTAATAATTAATTTTCTTTCGGGATGTTTTTATTTATTTCGAAATATAAAATTCAGTTCATCTTGAAATCTATTAATTTGTTGATTTTTATTGATTTTATTAATCTTTAAATCATATTATAAATTTATCTCGTTTTTATGTTTATTATTGAATTTTGACGATCCAAAAGTTATTCTCGGGCCGCATTAAAAATTGTAATATTATTAATTCTGGGTGAATTTATGCAGTAGACTTTTGACGATCACAGAATTATTTTAGGGTCGCATTAAAATATTGAATATATTAATGCTGGCAAAATTATGCAATATAACCTCACATGACAGCCTCTTAAATTTTGACGATCACATCATTTTCTCGGGTCGCATTAAAAATTAGAATGCCATTAATGCTAGTAGGCAAAAAAAAAAAATAGATTTTTTTTTAACCAACTCCAGGATGTTTATTTTATTTATTTTATTGAAAAATAAATTTACAATTTATATAACAATTAATTACATAAAGGAGTTTGCTAAAACTAAATTAATAATTAACAGTTATTTTTACAAAAGCGTGAAGTTCCCATTTTGCTAGCCAAAGTTTCGCATAGAACACCGCCGTGTATAATGAGTTCCTCAATATCCCGGACCCAGTATTGTACGTGGACACTGTACAGTCAGTGTTGTCAAGGGACACTGATGGACAGTGTTTGAACAAAAATTACTTTTTTTAAAACGCGAATATCGCAAAATTTTATTAAAAAAATCTTCTTTGAGCCATTAATTAAAGTTGTTTAGAATTGATTTTTACATATATTTCCAAGTTTTAATACTTATTTAAAAGCTAAAAAAGAGTAAGGACAACGCGAACGTGGACATTGGACAGTCAAAAAGCCTTTGAACATGCAAAATGTACAACACTAACTGTACAAAAATAACTTTTTAAAAATATAAATAACACAAAATTTTATTATAAAAATTTGCTTTGAGCTATTAATTAAGTTGTTTATAATTGATTTTTACATGTATTAATATACATTTATAAGCTAATTAAGGCAACGGACGGCGCGGACGCGGACCTTGGACATGTAAAATGTATAATGCTGCCCTGTCCCATAATCTATGTTGTAGTTGCCCATACGTGCGGTACTCTCTTGTTGATGTTGTTCTGGCATTATGTCATCGTACACTCGTATGTCTGACGTAACTTGCGTCACTGTTTGCGTTGTCCTATGTTTTCTTCTTTCCGTAGGCAAAAAAAAAATTGATAATCATAAATCGTACACGTAAATACTTTACGTAACAAAAGCCAAGAAAGTTTCTATTACAACACTTAATTTGCACTATAAAAATTGGCTTTGCCAAGATTTTTGTAGTTGTTTCATTATCAATCATTTTAATAGCCCCTCTCGCAGTGATTCGTAACAAACATTTTTGAGACCGCGAATATATTTTACAATTTAAGCAATAATTCTACCAATTTTAAAAAAAAAACTGCGGAAGTTCGAAATTTTCTTCATAAAAAAAAAAGATTGATGTCAGTGGAAAAAGATAAATTCTTAATAACGACGTTATAGGAAGTTATTCAATTAATCAATAAATCCAGTTTAAGAAATATGTAACATAAATAATAATTTTTTTTTTAATAATGATAAATAAATGATAACAAATTAGGTGCTTGGAAATTATTTATTTATTTATTTTTTTTTTCTAAAAAAAAAAAAAAAACCTTCGATGACTACAAATCAGTCATCCTAAATGCACTCTTCTAATATCACATTGAATTTTAGAATTAAACCGTATTCCGACAATGTATAAGGAATGTTTATTTTATACTTCCTAATTGGGCTTTATTGTAAATTCGAATTTTATAAGAAAATCTCCCCCCAAACTTTAAATTGATATAAACTCTATGATAAATTAACGATAAATAAGATAAATACCAATATAATGGAGTGGCTCAATAATAATGTGGCTAATTTCCATTTTTAGTTTCACCCTTTAAATTTTATACAATTATTATTTTAATTTATACGAAACAGGTCTCAAAGACTAAAAACTGCAGAATAATCATTGTGCGAAAAAAAAAATATAGGGCTGAATTTATTTAATGAAATTTTAGAAATTCTAAATTATAATAATACAAACTTTATCTTGACAATGCAAGAAATTATTAATGACGTGCAGAAATCTTAAATTTTTTATTATTGATGTGCTACCTCGTCATGGTTTTTCATACAAAACAAAAATTAATCGAATTGAGTCACATTTCCTTTATTTCCGTGTCTCCCGAATCGGATATTCAATAGTAAAAGGGGGGAAAAGATGCGTGCATTGTTACCGGACAAAAATTTTAAGCGGCAAAAAAAAAAAAGAACAATATATATAATTTTGGAATTTTTAGCATCAATGTCTGTGAGAAACATCCATTGTTTCCGGTCATAAAGAGATAAATTCTCTGACAATAAGAACAGTTTAGGACTTTATTAGGCAACACCAATGTTTGTCAACATTTCATAATCCAGTAAATCCAGTAACAAATCTTCCCCTGCATCATGACCAACTTTGTGTGGTGATGATCATCATTAATGATTCTTTTGTTAGAAATAGTTATTAGAGAGAGAAGTAAATGCATCCTTTGTGTATTTGTAATGTATCTTTTCTTCCGAGATTGTTTATATGCTAATAAGAATTTCTCTTTTTTAGGTATAGATGGATTTTACATGGCGGGAAATGTAATTAATATAATTTTAGTATAATTTTAGTACTTAATTACTAATGAACTCGCACCAATAAATGAAAAAAATATATTTAATTTTAATGATAGGTTATTTGAGTTATTTTTAATTTATGATATGCACATTGATTCAAAAAAAAAAAAACCAATTTAAAGATTTCATTGACGTACACAATCATTTTTTTTAAAAATCTTTTTCAAGATAGTCAAGATAAGTCATGATAAAGTCAAAGATAAAGTCAAAGATTAAGGAAATAGTAATTTATTAATTTATTAACTTTGATTTGATTATGGGACGACAACAATATGTAAAAAAAATAAATTCCGGTCAAGCAAATTGGCAATACACAATAAAGTACATACATATAATCGGAATAAATAAAATGAGTTGGAAAAACAAAAGTCTAAATTAGCAATTTTGATGATATTTAGTAATTTATTGAGTCGATCTTCAATTTAAACAAACATATAATAATGCAATCTTTTTTTTTTTTTTTTTGCGCGGGAGAAATTCCCAAGAAGATAGAACCCCTTAAATTCTTAATTCTTAAATGGTTACCAATGTATGATATCAAATAGCGTGATCTTCACCATTCATTAATAATAGTGTAACTTGTAAATTTGCATTAATTAAAAAAGAAGTTTCTAAAAAAAAATAAATAACAATAGTGCAACTATCCTGAAACAATAGATTTTTTAATAATTGTCAAATTGAGGTTCATCCATTTTCATTGTTCTAAATTCATTGTTTAAAATAATAAATAATGAAACGCCAATTATATTGTATTGTAAAATTTTATTGAAATTAAAATTAAGGGATAAATGGATAAAATGCATCTTTTTTTATATGAACCTTCTTAATACTAAAAATGTGATATAGTGAAATAATAATCATTGTTTCATAAAAAGGAATATAAAATTCGGAAAGTTTGTAATCCCCCGATAGTCTAATAATTGAAAAATGTACACGTTATGTACAGTCTGCAAATAATGGATGACAAAACTTTGCGAAAGCATAACACATTATAGCACATTCTTTTTTTTATTATTATTTATCATTTGCATCCCGCTTTGAACAATGATTGAACAATGTTCAAACAATGAAATTTCCTTTTTTCAAACCTTCTTTTTCATCGAACAAAGGCAGCTACAATTGTAAGAGATATTATTAGAAAAAAAAAAAGAATAAATAATTCGTACAAAAATAATATTTCATATAGTACAACATAGAATATTTTGGAATAATATTGTACATCGTTGTCATATTGTAAGAGAAAACGAAGACAGAGTAATTTTAATCATTTTAATCATTTTTTGATCATTTTTAATCATTTTTAATGACTACAATAATAAACTTCGACTAATTTTTATTTTCGCGAAAATATAATTTTATTCAGATAAATTAAAAACCTAATAAATAAAAGGTGGAATTTTTTGCCAATTTTTTTTTTTGTTCCATGTTCATAAATCTTACCAAAAATGCTTAAATTAGTTCTTTTAAAGAAAATAAATATAAACGGAATAAACGAATTAATCGAAGGTGTTTCGAAAAGAAAAGAAAAAACGAAAATTTTAATAAAAAAAAAGGATTTACTATTATGTAATTATGTGAGATAAATATAATTTCGAACTTATTTCTTATTAGAGCTTATGATAAAAAAATAAATAATAAATAAATTATAAACATATATTTTACATAATTGCAATTTAAAAAAAAATTTACACTTAGAAATTGCATTGGGGAAATGTAATGAAATCTGGGTGCAGGCTTAAGTAATTAGGCCATTCATTTGAATTGTATACCAGCGAATATTGGAATGGGAGTTCTAATTCTGTATTAATGGGTTGTGGAAATGGGTCCACATTATTTACAGGGGTCGGCTCCTGAATGTGAATGTTTTGCCTTCGTCGTCTGTTGGGTCTCCTTCTCGGTGGCGAAGGACCATAAATTTCGATATGTTTTTTCTTTGCTAAGGTAGCTAACTTCTTACACTCGTCCTTGACGTCCTGGGCCGCCTTGGCCCAGCTTTTCGCAGCATTGCTAGTAACTTCCCTCATCCTGAGGTCATAATGACCTTCACTTTGAAGTAACCGGGTGTAGGCGGTTCTATATATTAGGAAAGTATTGGGGGGTCTCGTTGGATTTTTTCCCCGCCGAGGTTTTGCGAGTAGATCATCATCTTGAAGACGTAAAGGCAACTTTACGACTATATCTTGTGGAATTATAAAATTTTCCTCTTGATTATAAGGAATAAAATTCATTTCCATTTCTGAAGACTTTGAGACTCGAAGAAAATCAAACCTATTTATAAGGCAAGATGACAAAAAATTAGTGTGTCTTGAAACGATTTCACTGCACATATATATGCATTGTTCCACGGAATTCCTGCTGTAGTTAAAACAATTTAAACAATGGTGGTGAGGTGAAATCATTAAATCCAATTATAACAATGTGATAATGGTAAATTAAGTGATATTTGTATGCATCTAATCATTTTTTTGTGCTATTATTTAAATATAATATTTAAAATTTAATTACCATAAGTGATTAACTAGCAGATAATAAATCATGCGGAGGTGCCTAATGCAAATCTCCGTTTTTTTTTTATTGTTAGGGGATGAATTAATTTCTTTTTTTTTTTTTTTTGGGTTTAAATCGTGATAATACAATAATACAATAATACAATAATACAATAAAATACAATAGCGCAATAAAAAAAACCGGTCTTCATTCTTGATTGAAAATTTTGTAGTGAAACATTCACGTGCAGAGAATCACTATATAATACTTAACTAAATGTATAACAAAAATATATTAGATAAATTTTATTAATTTATTCAATAGAATAAATAAAGAAGAATGATAAAATATAAACAGAATAAATCGATCTAAAATGAAATAAAAAAACTAAAAAAAAAATATTTGGAAAATCTTGACTGAATTGAACAACAAAAAAAGTAAAAAAATTTATTCGAAAGTTTTGCTATTGGTCTTATTTTATTGCCAATTATTGACCTATTCTGTACGATGCATCACCGTGGTTCACCCAAAACAATAAAAGACGCGAAAATTACACATGACTATCTGATTGATTGATGTAATATGACCAATTATTGAGTACGACTGGCAAGGTTTACGCCACCGTTGGAAAGAGTAAAAAAAGTAAGTTAAAGGATGATGGACAGGTTTGCCAACCGGATGGCTAACCGATATTGTTGTTAAAATATGGTTGTTTATATAACTATTTAATCCTCATTAATTAATTAATTTACCCTTTGATAGATTTTTTTTTTGTTTTTTTTTTCAATCGTAAGTTATTCGTTAACTTATTCACGGCACCAATCAAATGTTAATTTATTTTCGTTTTAAAATTGATGGAAATTATTTCTAAAGAAAGAATGTTATGAATGTTATGATCAGCTTCAGGAGAGAAAGGTTATCCATTATTTAATTATTTATTGTGAAAAATAAATATGCAACAATCTACAAATAATGAAGAATGATAAAATATCGATTTCCGAGGTAAAATGTGTAAAATATAAATATATAAGGTTATCCACGTTTTAGTAATAAGGATAATAAAGGTAATAAGTAAAGAACACGAGACATTTATCTTGACCTCTTAACTAGGAAATTCATAATGTGTTATCTTTCAATAAAAATTCTAAAATACGTTCATATATGTTGCTTTATATCATTATAAATTACTATACAAGTCTTTTTACAAAATCTATTGTTTAACCAATAATAAATAATTATTATTTATTGTTATAATAATTATATTACTTTATTAATAATAATTGTTATTATATTTTTTTTATTTACATTTTTTATTTATTATATATGAATTTCATTATATTTTATTATTTTATATTTATATACTTATTATTATATCTATCTATTATCTCATTATTAAACATAATAAGTCCTAATTTGGAACATTTAAAAATCATTATCTTTTATTTTGAATTTTATTTTAATTCTTGATTTATTCCATTTTGAAACATTCGGATGCAAATGTGGCTTCAAATTTGGTTATAAACATTACAAAACTAATTATTATTCTTAATTTATATTATTATATTTTAATTTATATTATTATAATTTATATTATTATATTAAATCATAAAACATAATTTTATAAAAAAGGTGATTTACGCTAAAGTAAGAAATCTGTCATTGAACCTTTTTTCGGTTTTGATATTGGCTAAATTGTTACACAATCGATTTTCAGGTCAAAGCGAACTGCATTTTAAATTTACTATTTTGCTGCACATCAAACCCAAAGTTTTGGTGTACCGAATATCAATTTATGGAATTTGTTAATATCCTTTTTTTATCTCTAACTAAAATTTTATAGTTTTTTTTTTTTATTTGATTCTATTTTTATTTTTATTTATATTTTATTTTTATTTATATTTTTATTTTTATTTATATTTTATTTATATTTTATTTATATTTTATTTATATTTATTAAAATTTTATTATATTTATTATATTCTATCTTACTTTATTTATATTATATCGTTTATAATATTTTTATTTATATCGTTATTATGTTAATAATTTAATTTAATTAATAATGGGAAAAAATCTTAACATCTTTCTTTAATTTATGATAAATTTTTCCAGTGTCACGTAAACAAAAAATTTAAGTTGATCAAAAAAGAACAAAGGTGATGCCATCTGAAACAGTTCCCCATTGTTAAAGACAATGGTTTCCATTAGTGAAATTCGTGGCGCATTCATACTAACGATAAAAAAAAAACTATTAATATAAAAATTATAAAATATAAAGAACTTTTGATCATCCATCATAATATACTTATTTTTATCTCTAGTCACCGAAACAAGTTGTATGACTGTTTTGAATATGACCGGTTTTCCTTTCTCTTAAAATACGATATTTAAGACCGAAAATTCTTTTCTTCTAATTGCAGATTCTAAATTCTTAAACTAATGTTTATTTATAAGCATTTATAAAATAGTTGTCACCTTAAAACCTTATTATATCTATTACGTTATTTAATTTTATTTAAATTTATTATTATTTTTACTTTACCGGAACATACTGTAATTTACTATATCTACTATAATTTACAATAATTTACTTTAATATGCTATAATATGCCTGAAAACATATTACAATATGCAATAATATAATACAATATACTTTAGACAATAATAGAACAGACTATGACATACTATAACATACTATAACATATTATAACATACAGTAAGATATCATACAATAACATACTATAATAATACACTAAAGAACAGACTATTGAAAGTACTTTTATCATGCTATCATACATACTATGACATGATATATATGCGCATATACAATATATAAAATATGGACTCGTTCATGTGAGTAAACAAATTATTAATGAAAATGTCTGAAATCGCATCATTATATATATGCGTGAAACCTTGAATATTCTAGATTGAGTCTTTGAAACGCGACTCATGAAATTATAACGAACTGATCTCTAGTGAAACAACAATAATTTTATAATCTTAATAAATATTTACACTTATTTACACTTGATTACACTTGATCGCGCTGTATTATATTATCTTTATTATTCTGTGTTATGCTATATTACGATTCGTGCTATGCTTTATGTTATGTTTTTATGTTATCATGATTTATGGTAATATTTTCATTGTATGATAGAAAATTTATTTACCAATTTTTTTTATTTGTGTATCTTTAAATACCAATCTTCTTTTGTGAATTCACGGGACAAACTATATAAAAACTTATTGCAATCAAGCAATCAATTAAAATTTCTCTCTATATAAATATTAACTATTACTTTTACAGGCATAATCCGAAAAAGATAACAAGTAACGCGTGGGAATGAATATCAGGGGCAACCTTTAAATGTCGCAATATAAAAATAATAATAAATTCAATGGAAAAAACTTCTTTCATTGTTTAAATCATGTCACAATAAATATAATAAATATAATGAATATAATTAATTTAGTGTTATTATTATTATTATTATTATTATAAAGTTTTTGGCGTCATAATCAAATCCAATTACGACTATAATAAGGCTTTTCGAATCGGTGATAATCTCGAGTTTTTGAAAGCACAAAGGAACAATTATTAATAATCCAAACAAAAAGCTTTGTACTATAGTACAGTTCTTTTACAAATTTGGATTTAATAAAGAATAAAAATTACAATAAAAAAATAAATATATACTTTCTTTCTTGGCGATTGTCAAAAAAAAAATTATTTGAAGATTATGATATAATTGTTCAATCCTTTGTAACAAAAGAATCTTCTTCACTCTTTTGGTCTTATTCTGATACCTTATTTGTTTATCTATTTCAAGCGAATAAAAAACATGGGGCTAGCTTCGGGGTAGGGATCATCTGCCCCATTGTTTTATAGTTTTTTTTTAGTCCTGTGAGGTTTCGCGAGAAAAAAAAAATCAAATCAAATTCACTGGTACAACGTGTTAATAAAACTAATACTTTATCAAATATTCATGCATTATCACACAAACAAGAGATTCATTTCCCTTTGTTGTAGGAGATTGTGAAGGTGTTTCATATTTTTTTTTTTTTTAAAAAAAAAAAAAAGATAGCAATAAAACCTTGTGGATATGGGATATGCTATACTAGGTCAAAAGAATTCACTTTGGCTGTGATATTGAATATATTATAACTCTAAAATTAATAACTTTAATTATATAATTTCAATCTAAAAAAGGGATGTCTAGAAGTTATATCAGAACAATTATGGTTGAATAAACTGATGTTTTCTTTATTATTTACATAATTGTGATATAATTATCTTCACGTGATTTCTTATAACTTGGAATGTATTTTTTTTTATATACAATTAATGTATAAAATGTATTGAATATATAAAAAAAATTTCTGCTTTAAATTTTAAATGTATAAGTATAAATTGTTATGTAAACGCATATAAATTGTTGTACTATATTGTATTCCTATTTTAAGTCTTATAAAAAAAAAAAAAACTTTTTATCTGTAGATTCTATTCATTATATCTTAAAACAATTATTTATTTTAATTAATATTTTGAATAATATTCAACCTTGGCAACAATTAATTTTCGTTGGAATCAAAGAAAACTTATTTGTACCGGGTTTTAAAGTTTAATATCCGCTACACACGGAAAATTACATATATGAAAAGAATAATCTCTATAGATTAAAAAATAAACTTCATATAATATAAAATGAAGCATTGTTGGATATATGTATCTTATAATTTTTTTCTAAATTATTTATTCTGTCTGTCGGTAAGAAAGCACTGAGCATATTTGTTTTGAAAAAAATCTTTTTTTACTCAATAAACAAAAATAATCAAAGAAGTCCGAGCATGTTTATTTGTTTTGTGATGAACAATTAATCTATAAACGCATTTATAACTAAGTCAAATTAAGGTATTTCTCGTTTATAGCAATTTAAACAATAGATTACGCACTTTATTTCTTTTCTATATCGAGTTTGTGGGTTCTATAGAATAATAATAATTAAAGTAGACATAATTGATTTTTTTCTATATTGAGCTTGTGGTTTCAGATTACGTGAAATAAAACAAAAAACAAAGATGTTCAAATCATGAAACATTTGTTCGAGCATAATTTGCAAAACAATTACATTATTGCAGTTCCTCTGCATTTTATTGTTTATTTTTACAAAAAAAGAAAAAAGAAAGAAAAATCTAAAAAAAAAAGTAGAAAGAATGAAACTTATTTTTAGAAAAAATATAATTATATATAGAAGAACAATGTTAACTATCAGAATTCATATTGTTGTATTATTTTAATTGAAAAAGGAAGCTGCAACAATATTGAGTTTTATGCGAAAGATTTATATATTATTAGCATAACAAAGAAAGAAAAAAAAGAAAAAAGAAAAAAGAATGGGCTCAAAAACTTGCGCGAAATTATTCATTTTATGAAAATTAAAACGCGTTTTTTTATTAATATATTTATATGTTTAATATATATATATATGTGGGATTTTTTCCAAGTTAAAGATATTTCTCAACATTATTATTATATCAATACATTTTTAAATATTTTAATAATCATTGATCACATGATAATTTCATTTTAAAAACGATTCTGTAATTCTAGGCAAAATTTCCTTCATGTGATTTGGGTGAATAAAATAAAATCTAGTAAAAAAAAATAATCCCCCCGAAGTAAAAAACAAATTTCACCGATTTATAGTTAACGGTCCTTTCGATCCTTTTTAATAAGAATGAACATTCTAATTCAAACTTTGTTCTTAAGTAAAAAAATATTCATCAAGTTTGCAAAAATTAAATATATTTTTTTCTATAAAATTTTGCAAAAGTGAAAAAAATAAATAAAACTTTCCTCTAATTTATTAATTAAATTAATTAAAAAATGGTTACATATAATATTTCTATAAATTTAAATCAGGGAATTTGAGCAAGTCAAATTATTAAATTATAAATGTTTCAGATTGCTTTCATTTGTAAAAATTTTTTTTGCAGTATAACAAAGAACTTAATAACATTTTATCTTGATAAATATAATTAAAATTTCTCAGTTAAAAAAAAAAGATATTTTCAAATAATTTTATATATTTAGTTCCATTAGTGCCACTTATTATTCTTTATTGTCCATTAAACAAGCTCTGTAGCATTAGGGTTGTTGCTTTTGCATCAGTAAGTTTTTGGGATTCCATTTATTAGTATGCTCAAAGGATCCATAATATTTTCAAAAATTCCTTAAAAATCCATAAATCTTTAAGGATTCTAAGGATTCCTTAAGGGTCTGTGTAGTTGTAGTGTTTGATATTTCTTTATAAGTAACTGTTGTTTGATCAAGGATTTTTGCAAATATCACTATTCATACGATTTCCTTTACAAAGATCTGCTTTTTTGCAAAAAAAAAAATTTTTACTTTGAAATTTATCAAGTTTTAGAATAATGTTTACTATACTGGAATTATTCATTAATAATTCCTGGTAATACAAGAAATTTTTCTGCAAAAAAGTCAAGATTACTTTGGTAGCATGCATTATTATTTACATGCGCTATTGAGGCAGCTAAATAAGAAATTTTCGGTCATTTAAAAATCGGTCAACTTTCCCTCTTTAATTATTTCACTCAACCTTTTTTTTTTTTTTTTAAAAAAAAAAAATTACTGACACTCAGAATAATATAGAATGTCTTTTCATTTATTAACCAAACTTTCTCGTGACATTTGTCAACTTTTCGATACTGCGGCGTATTATGATGTAATTATTCGTGTTGGAAAAGGAACACTTGCAAAGGAATTCCAGGCACATTCGCTTATATTGAGAACTCGTTCCAGTTATTTTCGTGCTAACCTGGTAGGAGATAAGGCCAAAACTGAATATGACAAAATCATCATTAATAAAACTAATATAACACCTTCAGTATTTGAAGTTATTCTCAAGTATGGTTTCAATTTTCAATTAACGTATTTTATAATTTATTCCGAAAAATTAAATTAAATATTTTAAATAATTATTTAATATTTATTATTATAAATTATTAGAAAATTAATCATTATTATTTATTTATTCTTTATAATATTTTTTAACTAATAATTTTATTTAAAGATATATTTATAGTGGGAAAGTTGATTTTATGAATTGTAGAGGTCAAAATACTCTTGATTTGCTCTTTGCAGCTGAAGAACTTGGTCTCATTGAAATTTTAGAATATATTCAAGATCATTTAATCCACAATCAGGCAGAATGGATGGATACAAATTTCATAGAATATCATAGAGAAATTTTCGATCACGATTCTTTTAAGACTCTCCAAATTCATTACACTAATAAAATTGCAAAAACTCCTATGTGTGTTTTTGAAAATCAACAAATTTTTAGTCCTACAATATTGAAGTCTCTCGATGATCGTGGATGTATCAAACTTAACGAAGCTATGTGGGGTTTCATTGTTAATTGGACAAGATTCCAAATTCCTAGATTAAGCAATCAAGTTTCGGGATGGCTTAAAGAAGATTGGGATGAATTCAAAGAAACTCTTGAAAAATGTATTCCATGGAAAAGTATTATGAATTTAAGTTGGTCTGAATTCAGTGATCTTTTGATTCCATGCGAACCTTTCATACCCAAGGAACGTTTCGAAGAGGCTCTCATACATCATTTAGTGAAAGGTTGCGGCTCAACCTCAATTATTACTCCTATTTCCGCGAATAATGGCTCTACAATTCTTAATATTTGTCATTCTACTTTACTCTCAAGTTGGATTGACAGAAAAGAACATAAAATATACAGACCTGCAGAAATTCCTTATGAATTTAAATTAATCGTTCGTGGAAGACGAGATGGATTTTCTCCAGAAACCTTTCATCAAAGATGCGAAACAATTCCAAGGACCATTGTTGTGTTTAAAATGAATAAAACTAATGCAATATTCGGAGGATATAATCCTTTAGATTGGAAATTTGATCGTACCACTAAAGATAGTTTCATTTTCCATTTTGATGATAATAAAGCGGATATTAGTAGACTAACTCGGGTCGCAATTCATAAACGACAAGGGTATGGGCCTTGCTTTGGACAAGAAGATTTATTGGCTTTTCCTAATGGGAAACAAGCAATTTTGTGGAAGACTAATGATAATTCCGAATCTTTACCAGTAGTAGATTATGAAGTTTATCAGGTTGTTGATAAACTTCGAAGACCCAATTTCAATTCTTCAGCACATGAAAAGAGTGGTATTACTCATAAAAAACGATAGAATGAATAGAATGAAAAAAAATTCTTGTTACAGTCAATTCTCTATAAATGCACCATCTATAAGTGCATTCCCTCTTTAAATGCACCCTATGCTCCCATCCACTAATAACATAAAATTTTCCTCTATAAATACATTCCCCCTATTAATTCTGGTTTATTTATAGAGAATTGACTGTATTTAATTATTTGATCGAGATAAATATATGTAATTCACCAAAATGGTATATTTTTTCATTTATTTTAATATAGATTTAGACAAAATTGAATATTAAATTTTTTTAATTATCAAATGTAACCTTATTGTAATTTATTAAATTTTATAATTTTCGAAATATTATATATTTTATTTTCATATGTATTAAGGTAGAGAATTTAGAAATGTTAACATCCAATAATAAAGTGCAATTACATAATTATAAAGAAAACTTTTAGTCTTAAATCTATGTTCAGTATTAATAGAGCATCTTCATACAGATATCATAATGGACAATCTGCTTCGGCTAGAAAATTTTATTCAGAAAGTCGCTTATGATCATGAAAGTCTAGTGCGTATTGGTTAACGTAAAGTGTATCACCTTATATAATTAAAAACCTCTTCTATATTGCGAATATTACAAAAAAAAACATTAGAGTTCCTGCAGGTGGGATTCCTTTGGTGGCAGAATGTTTCAAGCATCACGTTATGCAGTAACAACTTTAATTAGTATCATTTCTAGACAAAATTAAAATGTTCTGGCGAAAAAGATTTTTTTTAACGTTTTCTTAAAATATTTTGATTTGATAATTTATCGATCTCAATCAACTTTAACATATAATTCTTCACAAACATATCAGCACCACCAAAAAAATTCAAACTCTCTTTAAAGAAAGTGATCTACGTGATACATGTTTATTATAAAAAGGTATGAACCAAATTAGGATTAAAGAATGAAAAATATTTTTTCATTCATCTTAACTAACAATTGTAAAAAAAACTCTATTCGATTTCTTAAATTTTCAGGAATTAATATGCAAGTTGAAGAGAGAACATATGATGTATGTTTATATTTACATTGATTACTGAATTTTTTGTCTGTAAATTATTTTTTTTTATAAAATAATTTTTTTGTTTCCTTGTTAATTAAAGAAAGCTATAGAATGTTTGAATTCTTTACAAACAAATTATGCTGTCCTCGATGCAATCCGTAAGTCCGGTAATATGCTGAACGAACAAAGTTTACCAGAAATGAGAAAATTTTGTAAACAGATAGGTTATGAGGTAAAATTCAATGATTAAAATGTAAAATACCTTTGAAAAAAAAATTTTACTAATTATTTTTTCTTTATCATTTAAGTCATCTGATTTTGACAAATTAAATATTATTCATGTTTCTGGTACCAAAGGCAAAGGATCTACTTGTGCTCTGATTGAATCTATTCTTAGAAACTACGATACACCACATGTAAATAACATTAAAACAGGTATTTACTTAATTATTTAAATGATGTATTAGGGAAAGTGAAGTTAAATCATTTATTTAATTTTTAAATAAAGGTTCGTATATTTCTCCTCATCTTATTGCTGTTCGAGAGAGAATTCGATTAGATGGCAAAAATTTGAGCGAAGAAAAATTCGCAAAGTATTTTTTTGAATGTTGGGATAAGTTTAAATTTACACCTCAGGTAATTCGCTATCATGTGACCAAATGACAAATAAACAGAACCTTTATTTAATATTATTAACAACACTAAATCTATTAACAGAGTGATCAAAAACAGATTACACCAAATTATTTTCGATTTCTTACATTGATGGCCTTTCATGTTTTTATGAAAGAAGAGGTGGATGTAGTAATTCTGGAAGTAGGAATAGGTGGTGAATATGATTCAACAAATATTGTAGAGAAACCGATTGTTTGTGGAGTCACATCTTTGGGATTTGACCATCTAGCTATATTAGGAAATACAATTGATTCAATAGCATGGCATAAAGGAGGAATTTTCAAGCAAAATATTCCAGCTTTCACTGTTAATCAACCAAAGATTGCTTCTGATGTTTTAAAGAATCGTGCTAAAGAAATCAATGTAAAGAATGTTTCATTGAATGTCTCATTGAACGTTTCATTGAACGTTTCATCGAATGTTTCATTGAATGTTTCATTAATTGTTTCATTTTTAGGCACCCTTTACTCAAGTCGAAGAATTCACACAAGAAATGTTGAATGGAATTAATATTGGTATTTTAAAAATATCTGTCCTTTATTTATATTTATTTTTGATAATTAAGAATTTATATTATCACATTATTATTATATATAGGATTACCGGGAAAACATCAACTTATAAACGTATCTTTAGCGACTGAGCTATGTCGCACTTGGTTTGAAAAAGTAAAGAATATTAAACATGAACAAAAAATACCCCCAGAATTTATTCCTGGAATTGTTAAAGCTAAATGGCCTGGTCGAAATCAAACACTTAAACTAGAAAAGTATCATAACGTAACATGGTTTTTTGATGGTGCTCATACAATAGAAAGTATACAAGTGAGTGGCAAAATATTCTTGTTTATATATTTTATAGGAAAATATTTGAAATATTTTGGATAAATTAATTATTCATTTGAATTTATTTAATAAATTCGATAATCAGGCATGTGCGGACTGGTTTGAAGAAACTGTTCTTTCAAAAGAAAATGAAAAGTTAATCTTCAATTTATTTATTATATTTGATTTAATTTTGATTATTATTTTTTTTACAAGTTTTTAATAATTCATCATTTTCGATTTTCATTCAATATTTTTTTAAAAAATAGTAATCAAAATTCATCACAAAACATTGAAAGAATTCTGATATTTAATTGCTTTGAGAACAGAAATGGTCCAGAACTTTTAAAAATAATCAAATCAAAAAATTTAATCAATCGTGCAATATTTTGTACAAATGTAACATTTTCCACTCACCAATTCAAACCTGGTAAGTCTTTAATTATTATAAATATAATTATTTATATAATTTTTTTTTTTTTTATAAATATTTAAATATTTTAGATTTGCAAAATAACACAATTAAAGTCGATTTATCATGGCAACAAAAACTTGCAAATTCCTGGTCTTCGTTATCTCAAGAAGCCAATACTGAATCAGGTGAAACAAAATATTATTCTACAATTCAAGATGCGCTTGAATGGGTGATAGACCATTCAAAAAAAAATGAACATAAAAAAATACAAGTATTAGTTACTGGAAGTTTTCATCTAATTGGTGGCGTGATGGCTGTATTGGGTTATGATGTTGAATAATTTAATATATATATTTTTGCGATTTAAAACATCACATGATTGATTTTGGCCAACCATAATTCGTGACGTACTTTAATGAAATGTGAGAAAACTGAATACTCTTTTATACGCCTTAATTCTTTGTGCATGATTAAACCTCCCTAGACTTCGGATAAAAATAACTCAATGAATATCAGTGATAAAATTAATTTTACTACAATTGTAAAGCCCAAAAATCACAAAACTTTTGTGAAGTATAAAGTTAATGCGTTGTCTTCTGATGGTAATAACTTGACAAATACTAATGTTAGAAAGACGACTCAAATACTGTTGCAAAGCTTAAGAGAAAAGCTTTCAAATGGTCTTAGAAATATTTTAGTAAAAATTGTTTCCCATTGCATCAAATTGATCGGAAGCAAAAGTATAAGCCTGCAAATTTAACTGGACTTTGCAGGCTCATGTGCTCATAAGCCTAAAATTAAGGCCGGATCTGCAAGCGTTAGGGCCTATAAGGAGCTTTAAAAAAAATACTTACAATACCATCAGTCTCTATGTATAATCTAAATCAATTGCCTCCAGAATCATGTTGCTTTGTTAATATCCACAAAAGAATAGGCGTACCGAAAAGGATAAATAGGACAGGATTTACTGATTAGAAATCCTGATCTATAATTAGAAATTACCGATTTTGGGGGTAGGCTAAAGCGGAGTAGAATCATGTGAGGTGATTTCGGGTTAAGGCGGAAGTGTGATCGTATCACATGTA